GGTTTAAGGAGGAGGAGTAGTAGTAGTAGTAGTAGCAGTGGGTAGAAAAGCTATTCTGACTTGGGTGACTCAGGCTGCCACCAGCTGGTTCGCCAAGATCTCGGCAACCACCATACACTCGGCCGTCTGGGTCTGGATGCCCTCAAACCACAGGTTTTCTCGGCTGTCCGAAGGTTACAAACTTAGGGTTTAGGGTTTAGGGCTTGGGGTTTGGGGTTTCGGGTTTGGGGTTTAGGGGTTTTGGGTTGGGCGTTTAGGTTTAGGGTTTAGGATACCCTTGCACCCTCATCTTCTCAAACTTTTGTTTCTGGTCCTTGTTCACATCGATGACGAGGGCACACAAGTCGATGATCTGGGCGCCCCCTGGTACCAGAGTCTTGCCAGCAACTGTACAAGTAGCAGCTCTGCAGCAGTCAAAGCCCTAAACCAGTCAAAGCCTCGGAAGAGCAGCATCGATCGAAGTCACTTCAGCCCGATACAGCCAAATGATGTGCTTCGGGAGAGGGGTTCGGGACAGATTCTTGCAAGCGGAAGACGAGAGCCCACACTAGAAAGACATAGAGGCTGAAGCAGATGATTCGGGGGCTGCTCGGCCTACTCCAAAGCCAACATCGCGTGCGTCAATGAATGCCAAAAGCCCGGAACCAACACACGCAGCTCTTGATCCTAAACCCTGGGTTTAGGGTTTAGGGTATAGGGTTTAGGGCTTAGGGTTTAGGGTTCAGGGCTTAGGGTTTAGGGTTTAGGGTTTAGGGTTTAGGGTTGAGGGTTTAGGGTGTAGGGTTTAGGGTGTAGGGTCTAGGGTTTAGGGTTTAGGGTTTAGGGTTTAGGGTGTAGGGTTTAGGGTTTAGGGTTTAGAGTTTATGTAGATAGGCCTGGCCTATGACTGTACGGATCAGGGACGCATGGCCGGGGCAGTCCACCAGGCACCACTGGATAGTGTCGAAGCCGGCAGACTGAGCACATTATGCGTAGGGCTTAGGGTTTGTGGTTGAGGGTGTAGGATTTAGGTTTAGGGTTTAAGGTGTATTATTTAGGGTTTAGGGTTTAGGGTGTAGTATGTCTTAGGGTTTAGGGTTTAGGGCTTCGGGGTAGCTATAAGTAGGGTTCCAAGTACGGTAACTATGGTGATAACCTTGCTCTTAAGGTACTTACAGCTCCCACTTCTAGACCTGGGAGTAACCTAGGAATAAAAGGGGTACCCTTTTTGGTTTTCAGGGGATTATAAGGGAATTCCAGCTCTAAAAGAGGAAAAAAGGGCCTAGTCCCGGTCCTAGACTTGGAAGTACCCATGAACCTTCAATTACAGTATCATGCTCATTGCCTAGTCCCAAGGGAAGCCTCGGAAACAGAAAAGGGTTTAGGGTTTAGGGTTTAGGGTTTAGGGTTTAGGGTTTAGGGTTTAGGGTTTAGGGTTTAGGGTTTAGGGTTTAGGGTTTAGGGTTTAGGGTTTAGGGTTTAGGGTTTAGGGTTTAGGGTTTAGGGTTTAGGGTTTAGGGCTTGGAAGGGAAGCTGAACTCTAAAGAAAGGAAATGAGGGCCCTAAACCCTAAACCCTAAACCCTAGACCCTAGACGGTAAGAGTGTTTTTTTTGTTGCGGGTGCTTTTTTGCTGTGGGTGCGGGGGCGCGTTTTTTTTTTTTTTTGCTGCGGGTGCGGGGGGCGCGTTTTTTTTTTGCTGCGGGTGCAGGGGCGCGTTTTTTTTTGTTGCGGGTGCCGTGGGGGCGCTTTTTTTTTTGCTGCGGGTGCGGAGCGTTTTTGCTGTTTTCTCCATATTTTACTATGAAAACCTTTATTTTCTCTAATTTTCAATAGGAAAACCTCTCCTCTATATTTGAATAGGAAAACCTCTTTCTTCTCTATATTTGAATATGAAAACCTCTATTTTCTCTACATTTAGCATGAAAACCTCTAGTTTTTTTAATTTCTCTATACTTCAATTCGAAAACCTGTATTTCTCTCTATTTTATAGCTAAAACCTCTATTTCTCTCTATTTTTGTCTATATCGTCATAGTTTTCCTCTATATTTAATGAGGAAGACATGAGAGAGGAATACATGAGAAACTTATTCTCTGTGTTATCTCAATATGTGACTTGCAATTAGAAGTGTTTTTTGTTCCTCTTGTCCTAATTTTAATAGGAAGCCCATTATTTTCTCTGTCTCTGAATAGGCAAACCTCCATTGTCTTAACATTTGAACATGAAAACCTCTATTCTCTATATTTGAATATCAAGACCTCTACATTTTAATATGAAAACACTTTGTATTTTCGCTATATTTTGTATGAAAGCCTCTATTTCCTCTATGTTGTCATAGGAAGCATCTAATTTCTCTATATTGTATAGCGAAACCTCTATTGTTCTATAGTTTCTTATTTTGTCAGTATTTTCAGACTTCTTCTCTTTATTTCACGAGGAAGACATGAGAGAGGAATACATGAAAAGCTAATTCTCTATATTGTCATAAGAGTACATGCATTATCTCTGTTTGTGACTCGTAGACAACAAGTGTTTTTGTTCATGTCTCATAACACAAGCTCTATTTTCTCGCTTCTTTACTAAGAAGACGTTTATATCTCTATTTTTAAACGGAAAACTCAACTTCCACCATAAGGTCTGAATTTTCGTAGGAAAGCAAGCATATATTCCCTCTTTCTTCAGGGGGTTGGGGGCTGCGCAGACCGCCGCATTTGAAAACACAATGCTCGCATCATGGGTTTGGAAGGGCTTCGTAAGCTTTGACATGTGCCAGTCTGGACTGGCTTTGAACGGGGACGACATGCACTCATTCTTCGCATATTCGGCAGCTAACAACAGCAACAGACCTGTGCAACAGACTGTGAAAG